TTTCAAAAATTTTTGAAAAAAAAGTCGTATCAAAATTGTAAGAGAGAGTAAGGTCGTTTCAGCCGGAGAGGTTAGCCATGTTAGGTGGGGGAGGGAGACAGGGTTTGGCGAGACGCCTGCCTATGCTACACCCACCTTGGAAACGGCCGGAGCCCGGCAAACCCATCCCCTGACACACCTCAGCGTCTTCTCCGAAAACGGCTGTATAGAAGCGATTATTGACTTTATTGCAGACATCGTTTCCCGTTGACGCCTTTTTACACTGTAGAGTTGGGAGCAAGTTCCACGCTGGTCGTAAGGGCGGAGACAGCCAATCAAGACCCCTTCATCTGACGCGCTCGTCCCTTCAACAGGAAGTTGCATCAATGAAGTAGGACGAGTGGTGGGGCAGACTTCATCCAAGCAACTAATGCGAAACAAAAAACTCGCCTTCAACCCAAAATTTTGAAGTGCGGCTTACCCCCCATGAACTCTTGAAACGAGTTTTCCCAGTAAAGTTCAAGTAAAACTGGAACTGACCGCATTCGCATGAATTCCTTAACTTCCAAAAATGAGTTCATGTTGTGGTAATCAATCATGAAGTAGAAACCATCCATAACTTCTACACCATCTTTGTTTTTCCTATAATTACATGATTAGGTATTTCAAAGAGTGCAGAAATTTGACAGCTCAAAAATCGTAAGGGACAAAAGAATGATAGAAAAAAGAAAAAGAGGAAGAAAAAAGGAAGTGGAAAGTGAAAAGAAGTTTAAGCAGGTGAAGGAAACCCAGTAAGACTGAAAAGAGAAGAATTGTCAACAAGAGGTGAATAGAGGGAGAGTTGGCTTTTTGAATGCGATGTGGCCCATACGATGACTTGCGGGGGTTAGCCAATGTACAAGTCAGTGTTCAATGCCGCCCACACCGAAGCTTGTACCAAGTTCACCGACTTCCGAAAGTTAAAGAGCTTGGTGGCCTAAGCGGGAGACCCACCGAGACTTTGAGCCCAGGACTGCGCGAGTGGTGAAGCGCGCCTAGCGTTGTCACTGCACCACCGTCCTGCCCTAAAATATAATATACTTGGCTACTCAGGACCGCACTGTAATAAAGGACAAGGTTGTCGGCTGACTGTTACGAATGCTCTTCAGAATTTCAAGAAATATGTCTTCTCTAGACTGTGCTGGCTTTTTTAGGACATTGGACATCGGAGGCCGCGGAAACTGCAAAGATGAACGCATTAAAAGCGAAGAAGAAAAAAAGGACATGAAATGTGTTTGCGAAGCAATAAAACAGTCCGAAGAATTGAAAAGCAGAATCAGCCTTACTTTGGTGAAGCAATGTATTTTTCTTTCCATCTTCCATATCACGATAATTCTTTAGGAGAACCTCTGGTGACCAGTGGTCTTCTTCCTCCTCCCAGAATTGAATTGTCTAAAATCAGAAGAGTTATGAAAATTATATTTCGACACCATTTATTGACAGCTTTTCTGCTGCTGGATGAGATCGGTGCCAAAGCAATGTTCTTTAGGGCGCACTATGTATCTCAACGACGTCCAGTTAATAGCGACATACAAGGCCAGCATGTCTGATGAGGGTGCACATCGCACGTCTACCCGTTCTGCTAGTTCTGACGCGGACAGGCACGACACGACTTAGCCTACATAGAGAGGCTCCTTTAAAGGCATGAAGGGCTCATACAGTTTATTTGGTTAAACTCTAGAAGAACTTACTGTATTGTAGTCTCTGAGCCAAAAGACAGTCGCTTCTGGTCCCCAGCCGTACTTTGGAAGAGTCTCCAGTTTTGTGACCATTTCGTTGAAACGCTCTCGAGTCCTTTCGTCAGAAAAATCGGGCATTGGCTTCACGGCAAAGCTCACGACGAACGATTCACGAAGAACGAAATCCTGAAAAGTTTCGGTAGTGAAAGCTGCATGGAACTTTTGCTTACGCTCAACTTAAGCTGGCACATTCCGTGCCAAAATTACGGCAGAGCGCACGGCACGTCACTGGGTAAGGCTCACCAATAGGTCTGACCCCGCCCTTACAACCTTCGTGGACTGTACCTTTGAGTCACACAGCGGGAAATATAAAATTGAAACAACTATGCAAGGAATTGTAGGATTACCTGCATTTGCCTCGAAATGTCCGTAAGAGGTGATCCTTCCAGATAGAGATTTTCCATGTTAAAGTCGGTGCTCACTTCAGTGGCCAGGTAAGTGCTTACCTGGAAAACATCAAAGTGAGTCGGGATTTTGTCGTGTTTTTGATCTACTTTTCGTGGTTACTACACTATCTACTAGAGAACTTTAGGTCATATAAAAGAAAAAAGAGTGGTAAAGTAATAGCCACAGTGGTTTTCAGTAAAACAAGTCTATACCCCAACGTGGACGAACGAAGATCAAGCTATGACCAATGTTTAGCGTTTTTCGTTTTGAAGAAAATCGACAAAGATCTCAAGACGGCTCTTCTTGCGCTTAATCTCCTGTGGTGGTGCGGTGAATGAGGGAAGCATAATCGAAAATACCATCGTTTCACCGAATTTCGCTTTTGTACTGTCACCTATTGAATTCATTGATGGGTTTCCGTCCTGAAATCAAAACAATTATTTACTCATCGTTCACCTCATCGGAAATCAATGGTCACTGTTTTTCTTGAAGTTGCATACCCTTCAGGAGTATTAGAAACCTTTCACTGGCCTACTGTAATCTTTGATCTCCCATTCTATCATAATGGTGTGATAATGAAGATTCCCAGTGTAAAGCACAAGAACTGTGAGGGGCTTCAAAGACCCTCACGGAGAAAAGTACGTGGGCTATGTTGTGAAGTTTCTTACACTACGGAAAGGGTGCACGGCACCCACCTGGGTCTAAATCATATAAGGGGTTCAAGAACAGAGGGCCCGATCAATCCACCGCACGTAAACAGCGCCACCACCCCATTTCACCTTAATTACATCCCGATTGTGTGGACGAATGGACGGACAGAGCTACCGTTGCTCGCTGCGCCCTCTTCTACGCCTCGCTCGATACAATTGCCGAATGGGGGAGGTGTGGTGTGAATGGTCACCGACGCCCGCCCATCAAGAGCATGTGCTTTGGAAGACTAAGACGCAAAACGCTGAAAATCATTTAACATATACAAACCCGCAGAACCTCTGTACCACCTCAGATTCAGCAAAAAATGGGGGTATGACTCCGCCCACGCGATTAACGTGGACTTTGCCTTCAGCTCTACAACAATGGCGACCTTTCATGTAAGACTACAGTCCTAACATTGTTGCGAAGTGATCTACTTGTAGACATCGACGGCAAGTCACATAAATTTGAATAGTCCCCCTATCAAGAAAAGTACAGAAGAACTTCTGCTTAATATTCTGGGCAATATCCAAGCCCAAAATATGTACCATGGCGCGACAAATATTACCTGAATTTTTCGCTCTTTAGCTTTCTCATCTAGCCTGATCTGACGTCGAACGATGAAGCTCATCATGGCCGAGAAAAAGGTCAGCTGAAAACAGGACGCCTTTTATTAAATCCGGTAGTTCAGGGGATTCGACGGCTTGGTGACTATGGGTGACCAGGAAATCTTACCTGATAGACAAAATCCATGAATAGAGCAACTGTGGTGAACAAACAGAACAGCTGAACCACAGGCATGTTGGCGAACAGACCAATAGCAAAGCAGAGAACATCTGTAATAATAAATAAGTATTACTATAAATAATGTATAATAGAATCAATAAGACGCTACAGACACGCACACGAAACACACAGCCATAAGCCTAGCCATGGTCAGACGCACTACAAGTCTGCGACCGTGTTCATTTTATTAGTTGGCCAAATACCCAGAGCATTTAATTTTAAATGGATTGAAATTCGGAAAAAATATTGTGCTCTATTAAGATGATCAGTTTTCTGTGTGCTTCATGTCTGTCCCCAGTCGATCCCCATGATGTCCCTCCCCGTGGCGTCCATCATCGGCCATCGGCAAAGCCGTCTTTATGATCCCAGCCGCTTAGCCCGCTGCTAAATCCTCTTATTCGTGACTTGCAATCGTATGCATCTGGTCAAAATAGTATTTTATAGCGCACTCGACGGATCAATAATCGATCGCTTCATGCCATGGATGACTTTATTGAGCGAATTTCTGGACTTCACAGAAATATATAGAAATGAACGGGGAGTTTATGCCCAGCTCACTGCCTTGTATAATACTTCTACTTGGCGCTATGTTGAAGTTTAAGGTCCTGATGTGCCGGAGTTTATGGTATAGGTAAATCCATTTTTAAGAGTGTGCCTTTTTAGAGTTGCACATTCTACTTCCATTCAGGATCGTAAAGGTTATTGAGGGTTGAATTGGAGGGCAGCAAGCACCAAGTCAGTGTCCTTTTCTTCCCTGTGTGCCATTAGCTGACCCCAGAGGGGTAGAGTACTTAGCTTTTGCGATCGTGGTATGCGTGCGTGAGTTCATCAGTTCCGCCTCCGGGGTGACTCCTGAACAAAACCGGTGCTGTTCGGTTTAGGCGGATGGGGAGGGCCTTTACACCTTCGCGAGTTTCTTCTGCTTGTTTCTAATGGATGACGCGCCTCACCTTGTTGAGGCCTGTGGACTCTTGTGAAGGTAAACGAAGCCCTTGCTCTATTGCACAGCTTTACAGTAA